CAATTTAACAACAATTTATTCACTAAATCATACTCTTATTAAACCAAACTTCTTCGATGATGCAGGGGAAATGATTGTTGGGCCAAGAAAAACTCTTTTTATGGATGAAATATCCACCGGACTTGATAGCTCCACAACTTATCAAATTGTGAAATGTTTAAGGAACTTTGTTCATCAAATGGAGGCTACCGTGTTGATGGCTCTTTTACAACCTGCTCCTGAGACATTTGAACTGTTTGATGATCTTATATTGTTATCAGAGGGTTATTTGGTGTATCAAGGCCCTCGAGCCGAGGTGTTAAGGTTTTTTGAGTCATTGGGTTTTAAGCTACCCCCTCGCAAGGGGGTAGCTGATTTTCTTCAAGAGGTATTATAATATTATGCTTTCGTAACATTAGTTAACATTTTGTATTGCCTATGGCTAAGCTTGTTTTGTGACAGGTGACGTCTAAGAATGATCAAGCACAATATTGGGCTGATTCAACTCGGCCATATACCTACATTTCTGTTCCTGAATTCGCAGAAGCATTTAAAAACTCCAATATTGGGAAGTCTTTGGAGTCCTCGCTCAATACTCCATTTGATAAGTCTCTAAGCCATCCTTCAGCGTTGGCTAAAACAAGATTTTCTGCGTCAAAGTGTGAGCTTTTTAAAGCTTGCTTTTCTCGAGAACTATTGTTGATTAGCCGACATAGTTTTCTTTATATCTTTAGGACATGTCAGGTTGCATTCGTTGGAGTTGTTACATGCACAATGTTCTTACGAACAAGAATACACCCCACGGATGAGATAAATGGCAACCTCTATCTATCTTGCCTGTTCTTTGGATTGGTGCATATGCTGTTTAATGGCTTCTCTGAGCTACCTTTAATGATATCTCGCTTGCCTGTTTTTTACAAGCAAAGGGACAATCTGTTTCACCCTGCTTGGTCCTGGTCTATTACTAGCTGGATTTTACGCGTGCCTTATTCCATAATTGAAGCCGTTGTGTGGACTTGTGTTGTATATTATACTGTTGGCTTTGCCCCTAGTGCTTGGAGGTACCTCACTATCTGTTTTTTCTCACTTAAAATTCATTTCTTTTCCTCTTGTTCGTAGCTGATCTGTTTTAAAATGACTCCAGGTTCTTCCGCTTCATGTTCTTGCTCTTTTCGGTTCATCAAATGGCTATAGGTCTTTTTTGTTTGATGGCAGCTATAACAAGAGATATGGTAATTGCTAGTACATTTGGTTCAGCTGCCTTGCTTATTATATTTCTACTGGGTGGTTTTATCATACCAAAAGGTACGATTTGTATGTGTTTTTTTTCACCAAAATTGCTTGAAGATTGCTAATTTGGATATCATATTTCAGAAATGATTAAGCCATGGTGGTCATGGGCTTTTTGGGTTTCTCCACTTTCTTATGTCCAACGTGCTATCTCTGTCAATGAGTTTACTGCCACTAGGTGGATGGAGGTATCATTTTCTTGTAGTGTACCAATGCATAAATTAAATGCATATAATGTAAGTTTGGTTCTGATATGTACTTAAAACATTTGCAGAACTCTGCCATTGGAAATGGAACTGTTGGGTATAATGTTCTTCATTCGCATGACATGCCTAGTAGTGATAAATGGTACTGGATCGGTGTTGGAGTGACATGGGGTTATACAATTCTTTTCAATAGTTTGGTGAATTTGGCCTTAGCTTACCTCCACCGTGAGTATTAATATGATACAATATGTGTATGTATGTATCATCAAAATGTTGATATTCTTGTGTTTTCCTTCTTAATAGCGCTGAGAAAAGCCCAAACGGTAACCCCACTTGATTCTACTGCGAAAAATGGTACGTCATAAATTCTATCTCTATTGGTATGAGGCTCAACCACGAGAGTTTATGCTTAAAGTGGGCGATCTGCGCAGGTGTTGAAGAAACATGTCCTAGAGCATGCAAGAAAGAAAAGGGAATGATTCTTCCATTCCAACCATTAACAATGACTTTTCATAATGTTAATTATTTCGTTGATACTCCAAAGGTTAGCCAGAAGTTTAAATTTGTAGTTCATATTCATGTTCATTCTACAACTATTTTTAAAAGGGTATTAAATTCATTAGGAAATGAAGCAGCAAGGTATACCAGAAAAGAAATTGCAGCTGTTATCAAATGTGAGTGGAGTGTTTTCACCAGGGGTTCTTACAGCTTTAGTTGGATCAAGCGGAGCAGGAAAAACTACACTAATGGATGTTCTTGCTGGAAGAAAAACCGGTGGATACATTGAAGGTGATATCAGAATATCAGGCTTTCCAAAAGAGCAGCCTACTTTTGCTAGAATATCAGGCTACGTAGAGCAAAATGATATCCATTCCCCCCAAGTCACAGTCGAGGAAAGCCTCCAATTCTCCTCATTTCTACGCCTTCCAAAAGAAATCAGCAAAGAAAAACGACAGGTATTTTGTTTGGTTGGCTCCATCTTATTTTAATATGATCCAAATCTCATCTTATTTTAATGCTTTCAGGAGTTCATTGAGGAAGTAATGAGTCTAGTGGAGCTTGATACTCTTAGGCATGCTTTGGTTGGTGTGCCAGGTAATACTGGTTTATCAACAGAGCAGAGAAAGCGCCTAACTGTTGCAGTGGAGCTTGTTGCAAATCCTTCTATCATTTTTATGGATGAACCTACCTCTGGACTTGATGCTCGAGCGGCTGCCATTGTTATGCGAACCGTTCGTAACACGGTCGATACGGGAAGAACTGTTGTTTGTACCATTCATCAACCGAGTATCGACATTTTTGAAGCATTTGATGAGGTTGGTAGCTGATTTAAGCATAATCCATAGATGTTTCATTTGGTCTTAATGATTTTGTTCTTGACGTTCTTGTGCAGTTGCTTCTTATGAAACGAGGGGGGAGAGTTATATATGGGGGAAAGCTTGGAACACATTCACAAATAATGATAGACTACTTTGAGGTAAACCTTATCTCTATATGCATAGATCATGATATTATGAGCGGTTCTGAAAGAGATAAGTTCTTACTTTATAGGGAATTAGTGGAATTTCTCCAATACCAGATTCTTATAATCCAGCTACTTGGATGCTTGAGGTCACGTCCCCTGCGGCTGAGCATAGAATTGGTAAAGATTTTGCTGATATATATAGGGACTCGGATCAGTACAGGTATGATTATATTACAGTCGGTCTCTATCGTTAGAAGTCGTGTTGTGAGATCCTACATCGGTTGGGGAGGAGAATGAAATACTCTCTATAAGGGTATGGAAACCTCTCCCTATCAGACGTGTTTTAAAAACTTTGAGTGAAGCCCAAAAAAAAAAAAAAAAAACTCAAAATAGGACAATACCTACTAGTGGTGGCCTTGGACTATCACAAATGGTATTAGAGCCCGACACCGGGTGATGTGGTAGTGAGGAGGATGAGCCTTGAAGGGGGTGGACACAAGGCGGTGTGCCAGCAAGTACGCTGGACCCGAAAGGGATTGGATTGTGCGAGTCCTCACATCGATTGGAAAAGGGAACGAGTGTCAGCGATGACACTAGGCCCTGAAAGGGAGTGAATTCTGAGATCCCATGTCGGTTGGGGAGGAGAACGAAACGCTTTACAAGGGTGTGGAAACCACTTCGTAGCCGACAAGTTTTAAAAACTTTTAATGTTACCTGTTTTTTTTTTTTTTTTTTTTTTTTTATCTAGAATCGTTGAAGCTTCCATTGAGCAATTTAGTGTTCCACCCGCTGGTGGAGAAGCGTTGAATTTTGATACCACCTACTCACAAGGCATACTATCTCAGTTCATTATTTGCCTTTGGAAGCAAAGGCTTGTGTATTGGAGAAGTCCCCAATACAATGTGATGAGGCTATGTTTCACCTTCATAAGTGCACTCATATTCGGTTCAGTGTTTTGGGGTATTGGTATGAAAAGGTAAAAATCTGATCTCATTTGGAGTTTTGGTTTTTGGTTTTAAGCTTTTTGATTAAAATTTATTGCATTTGAATAAAGGAACTCAACTCAAGAACTGTTCGTTGTTATGGGAGCTCTGTACGCTGCATGCTTATTCATAGGAGTAAACAATGCTTCCTCTGTACAACCAATTGTTTCAATTGAGAGAACAGTATTCTATCGCGAGAAAGCAGCTGGAATGTATTCTCCATTCGCTTATGCATTTGCTCAGGTAAGCAAGCAGTTTAATTGTGTTATATCAGTATGTAAACAAAAGGGCTAATCAAATTTTCCCAACAGAGCTTAGTGGAGGTTCCCTACATTGCTGCACAGACCATAACATTCGGTGTCATCACATATTTCATGGTGAATTTTGAAAGAAACGTCGGTACGTTACTCAAATTTAGTTTATAGATTAATCTATGTGGTTTAAAACTGTGATATCTCATATTGGTTGGGGGAGAATGAAACAATCTTTTATAAGGGTGTGGAAATCTTTCCTTAATAGACATGTTTTAAAGCCTTGACGGGAAGCCCGAGAGAGAAAGTCCAAAAAGGATGATATCTAGGAGTTGAACGTATATTTTAAAATTTTGCAGGGAAGTTTTTGGAATATCTGCTGTTCATGTTCTTGACGTTCACGTATTTCACCTTTTATGGAATGATGGCGGTGGGGCTGACTCCATCGCAGCATATGGCATCCATTGTATCATCTGCATTCTACTCTTTATGGAATCTCCTCTCTGGCTTTCTTGTTCCAAAACCCGTAAGTGTTTTTATTGGCAATAACTTTTGATTGAATGGTTTTTGAGGCCTCCTCTGTTCTGTTCTTGCTTACCAGAGCCTCCCAGGATGGTGGATTTGGTTCTACTACATCTGCCCTGTTGCATGGACTTTGAGGGGAATTATAACGTCGCAGCTTGGGGACGTAGACACCATAATTGTGGGACAAGGTTTCGAGGGGTCTGTGAAAGGGTACTTGGAAGTAAGCCTTGGATATGGCCCCGGTATGATCGGAGCTTCGGCTGCGGTGCTCCTTGCCTTCATCTTCCTCTTCTTCTCCGTCTTTGCACTCTCCATCAAACTCATCAATTTCCAGAGAAGATAAAGATAAAAGTATAATGTCATTGCATTCTTTGTACAGTAAATACTATAATGTCATTGCATTCATTTTTTTTATTTATTGTATAGTTATGTTCATGTTAGTATAGTCATACACATTATCATATGATTTTTGCTTATTATTATTAAGAAATTTTGTGATTACATGTTTTATATCAGTTAGGTTCATTTTTGTCGTAATCATATACATTTATTAGATAATTTTACGTATTATTGTTTAAATTTCTGTGTTTTGTCGGGAATATATTATTATTATTGTTAACTAAATTAAAATAATATAATTTTGAAATTAGGAGTGATGTACTGAATTTTGAGTAATATTTAACCATATTTTTATTGGATAAAAATTATTAATATTTTATTTTAAAATAATTGTGGAATTAATATCGTTGGTTCGAGGTTACTTTGTATTTGGATCTCACAATGTCTCAAAATATTTATCAACTACCATACAAAATGTTACCAAATCCACCTTTTGATACCTCTCTTACCATGTAGGGCTTACATTGAATGTTAATGGAGTTGGTATATATGTTGTTGAGTCATTTGTGGATAAGATTTATTATTTAAATACCTTCATACAACTTTATAAAAAATCTCCCTCTCTAACAGATGCGAGATCTCACAATTCAACTCTTTTGGAGGGGTCCAACGTTCTCACTAGCACACCGCTTGACTTGACCATTTGTTTGTGCATGGAAGGAATTAAGAAAATGTTCGGTTAATTATGGCGTTTGGCGTTTGTTTGCGAGAACTATTCCCTTCTCAGCCCACTAATGAGGTAGGTAATTGGTTCATTTTACCATCTTTTATCTTATCAGCTTTTTATATATATATATATATATAGTTGGAATTGAACCCGAGCATGGTGGATTTCACAATCCACTGTCTTGATCCACTTGGTTACCTCGGCTCCCAAACCTATATATATATTAGAAAAATAAAAGCATATAAAAATTTAATAAAAGGAGCCATACCAATTCTCTCGACAAAGGAGCAAAAGAAAAAAGAAAAACAAAATTTAAAAATAATTTTATAAATTTAGAAATAAAAAATTATTCTAATTTTATATCATAATGGATGGGTTCCTAAAGTTCTATTTCGTAATAATACTATAAAAATCAATTTTATTAAATTAAAATAAATATTTGATGTATTAAATGTAAATGAGTAAAATATATTTTAATTTGATAGGTTGAAATCGAATTTAATATATTAAATATTTATATTGAGGAGTGTGAAGAATATAATTTTCATATCTCATGTTTTCTTCTATTCTTGGTCGCATCGTTAATATAATCAAAATATATATTTAAAAAATAATCTGAAAAATAGATTTAAAATAATAATAATAATAATAATAATTTAGTCTGATTTTGATTTAGAAATATAAAATAATTAAAATAGAGTTTTAATGGGTACCAGAAATTAGGGGTTAATTTGAACGTGGCTGATAGATTCACTCGTTTTTTTTTTAATTGTACAAGAAATCAGGATTTTTGTATTTTTCTTTTCTATTACATCACGTTTCAAACACGTGTGGGGTGTGAGAAATTCATTCCCCTCCCACACCGCACGTGTCAATTGAAAGCAGGCTGACAATTGGAGGGATTTTCCTTAAGGGGCAATCTCGTAAATTCAGGATCTTCATTATTTACTGCATTTGCAACGAACTCGTCGTCACTTCTGAACCTCTTTAAATAGTTCCGCATCTCTGTTTCCTTCTCCTCTCATCTTTTTTGCTTCAATGGCGGCTTCTAATGGTAGCGACTACTTCCATTTGGAGATGAACGTGACCGATCAGTCCTTTGTGAGGCCGTCCAACACTGAGCTATTGGCGAAGGACGAGCATGAGCTTTTATGGGCTGCGATTGAGAGGTTACCGTCTCATAAACAATCGAATTACGCATTGTTGACGCGCACTGCGTCTGATATCTCCTCCTCCAATGGCGATGAAAACACTAGGAGAATGGAAACTATTGACGTCCGGAAGCTCGATAAGAACAAACGCGAACTTGTTGTGAAGAAGGCATTGGCTACCGATGATCAAGATAATTTTAAGTTACTTTCTAGGATCAAAGAGCGTCTCGATAAGTACGTACTTTTCATCATTTAAATTAATTCTCTCTAATTATACCTCTCTAAAACCTACTATTGAGATTCGCGATTCGTCGTTTTTGTTGTTCTATATTGTAAGATTTAAGAACCATTATTCCAAAACTTATACGTCGTAGATTGTGGTATTCGAAAGCCTAGTAGTTTGTGTTAGTAGCACCTTAGTTGAACGCTAAAATTGAAAGTGGAGATAAATTATTTTTCTTTGTTCTTTCCGTTTTTTTTTTAATAATTTTGTTACTAATAGTTTTTTTTTGTTTCAATGTAAGAGCGGGAGTGGTGATTCCAAAGGTTGAAATTAGATTCCAGAACTTAAAAGTGGGAGTAGATGTTCAAATCGGTTCCAGAACTTTGCCTACTTTAATCAACTATTCCTACGACGTTCTTGAGGTACAATTTTTTTTCTTAATTTAATTTTCTTTAATCTGAATATACATACATACATATGTGTGTATATATATATATATATTTATATTTGTAGTCATATCATACTTCATTTGGTTAATTTTTTTAATGCAGAATATATTGACGAGTTTGAGAATTATAAAAGGCAAGAGATATCCATTAACGATTCTGAGTGACGTCAGTGGCCTCGTGAAACCCGGAAGGTAAGATGATAGTATATAATTTTAGCTTTATTTTTATTTTTATTTTGAAATTTGTTTCATATTTTCTATTTTATAAAATTGGACTAAAAATTAGAATATAAACATTGAATGAGATTTTCATAGTTTATTAGAGGTATAATTATTTAAAAATTTTGGGATATTTTTTAATAATTTAATTTTTCATATTTTTTTTTTATTGTATTACAAAAATATAATAAATAACGAGATTTATTATTGTGATATTTTAGGATGACGTTACTCTTGGGGCCTCCGAGTTCTGGAAAATCGACCTTGCTTCAATTCCTAGCAGGCAAACTTAATAGAAACTTAAAGGTTTGTACACCCAGCTCGGTTATATATTTGAAATTTTAGTTTTTGGTAGGTAAATTTTTTAAAATAAAAATAAAATTTAAAATTTAAAATTAATTGGAATTGAAATTACAATTTCAATAACTTATTAATACGATAGGCTGTCCTTTTAATTAATTTATCCTTATTTTTCAAGTACTTTCCATATGTTTAAAATTAAATTGCATTAAATTATTATTTCTTCTATCATGTCAATTTTTGTTTTAAATAAAATAATTATATTTATGTGAAAATAACTCGGTTTTAAAGAAAATATTGAAGACGACTGTATTTTATTTTTTAGGGAAAAATAGTTTTATGTGTATTTTTTAGAATAAAATTTTCTTTATTTTAAATTAGAAATATTTTCCTTCATATATATTTCTTTATTTTAAAATATAAACATGTTTAATTTCTAAAACTATATATATAAAAAAAAAAAAAAAACCTAATATTTTTTTTAAAAAATACAAATCCTAGCATTATTGCATTATAAAATTGTACCCTTTTTTTTATACTTCTATATAATTTAAAATTAATTTAAAATTAATATCAAATTAATGATTTAAAAGAAATAAAAAATGCGGAACTTAATTTTATTAGTTGAAAGTTATTTTTTTTTTATTTAAAAAAGAATGAATTTATTCCTAATAGCCTTATTAATATGTTATTTTTGGTGTTAGAAAAGTGGTAACATCACTTATAATGGACATCGTCTTGATGAGTTCTGCGTTCAAAGAACCTCCGCATACATTAGCCAATCCGATGATCACCTACCGGAGTTGACTGTGCGAGAAACTTTGGACTTCGCCGCTAGATGCCAAGGCGCAAGCGAAAGCTTTGCAGGTTTGCTTGCTTCCTTCATTCATTCACGTGTATATATGCTTGATTCGTTAGGAATAATAATATTGTCCATTTTAAGCATATCTTACTTATAAATCTATATCAATATGATTTTCTCTCTTGTCGTAGAATATTTGAAAGAACTGGCACGCTTGGAGAAAGAAAGAAAAATCCGACCTAGTCCTGATATCGATGCATTCATGAAGGTTGTCATTTGATATTACGTAGCAGTAATTTGTGGATTATGAACTGGCAGACCTTATTTTCTGTAACCTGCGCCCAATGTTACAGGCATCGTCCGTTGGTGGTAAAAAGCACAGTGTGTTAACAGATTACATTTTGAAAGTGCTTGATCTTGATATATGCTCGCAGACATTAGTTGGTAGTGATATGGTGAGGGGTGTCTCTGGTGGCCAAAGAAAAAGAGTTACTTCAGGTCTTTTTATTTTTCAACAATTTAACAACAATTTATTCACTGAATCATATTGTTATTAAATGAAGCTTCTTCGATGATGCAGGGGAAATGATTGTTGGGCCAAGGAAGACTCTTTTTATGGATGAGATATCCACCGGACTTGATAGCTCCACAACTTATCAAATTGTGAAATGTTTAAGGAACTTTGTTCATCAAATGGAGGCTACAGTGTTAATGGCTCTCTTACTACCTGCTCCTGAGACATTTGAACTGTTTGATGATCTTGTGTTGTTATCAGAGGGTTATTTGGTGTATCAAGGCCCTCGAGCCGAGGTGTTAGGGTTCTTCGAATCATTGGGTTTTAAGCTACCCCCTCGCAAGGGGGTAGCTGATTTTCTTCAAGAGGTATTATAATATTATGTTTTCATAAGATTACTTCACATTTTGTATTGCATATGGCTAAGCTTGTTTTGTGACAGGTGACGTCTAAGAATGATCAAGCACAATATTGGGCTGATTCCACTCAGCCATATACCTACATTTCTGTTCCTGAATTCGCAGAAGCATTTAAAAACTCCAATATTGGGAAGTCTTTGGAGTCCTCGCTCAATACTCCATTTGATAAGTCTCTAAGCCATCCTTCAGCTTTGGCTAAAACAAAATTTGCTGTGTCAAAGCGTGAGCTTTTCAAAGCTTGCTTCTCTCGAGAAGTACTGTTGATTAACCGAAATAGTTTTCTTTATATTTTCAAGACATGTCAGGTATTATTTCTATTACCCATTTCAACATTTGATTCTGGAATTCTGTTTTTCTGACATAACTTATTATAGGTTGCATTTGTCGGAGTTGTTACATGCACAATGTTCTTAAGAACAAGACTACACCCCACGGATGAGATAAATGGCAATCTCTATCTGGCTTGCCTGTTCTTTGGATTGGTGCATATGCTGTTTAATGGCTTCTCTGAGCTACCTTTAATGATATCTCGATTGCCTGTTTTCTACAAGCAAAGGGATAATCTGTTTCACCCTGCATGGTCCTGGTCTATTACTAGCTGGATTTTGCGCGTGCCTTATTCCATTCTTGAAGCCGTTGTGTGGTCTTGTGTTGTATATTATCCTGTTGGCTTTGCCCCTAGTGCTGGGAGGTACCTTAAAATTCAATCATTTTCCGTTTTCTTCTTGCTCGTAGCTGATCTCTTTTAAAATGATTTCAGGTTCTTCCGCTTCATATTCCTACTCTTTTCAGTTCATGAAATGGCTATAGGTCTTTTTCGTCTAATGGCAGCTATAACCAGAGACATGGTAATTGCCAATACATTTGGTTCTGCAGCCTTGCTTATTACATTCTTACTGGGTGGTTTTATGATGCCAAAAGGTAGGATATTCGTGTTTATTTCTTACCAAAATTGCTTGAAGATCGAACACTGCAATCCTAATTTGGATATCATCTTTCAGAAATGATTAAGCCATGGTGGTCATGGGCTTTTTGGGTCTCCCCACTTTCTTATAGCCAACGTGCTATTTCTGTCAATGAATTTACTGCCACTAGGTGGATGGAGGTACCCTTTTCTTGTATTGTGCCATTCATAAAACGCATAATCTTTAGAACAACGAAACAATCCGTTTCTATACTTCATATTATGTTAACTTTTACCGAAACAATTGCAGAAATCTACCATTGGAAATGGAACTGTTGGATACAATATTCTTCATTCACATAGCATGCCTAGTGGTGATAAATGGTACTGGGTGGGTGTTGGAGTGATGTGGGGTTATGTAGCTCTTTTCAATATTTTGGTGAATTTGGCTTTAGTTTACCTCCACCGTAAGTATTAATATGATACAATATGTGTATGTATGTATCATCAAAATGTTAATATTCTTGTGTTTTCGTTCTCAACAGCGCTAAGAAAAGCTCAAACTGTAACCCCACTTGCTTCTACTGCGGAAAATGGTAAGTCATAAATTTTTCACGTGCCTCTATTAAGGATTGTTAGATTGTTGGGAGAGGAGTCCTACGTCGACTAATTAAGAGGTTGATCATGGGTTTATACGTAAGGAATACTATCTCCATTGATATAAAGCCTTTTGGAGAAACCAAAAGCAAAGTCACGAGAGTTTATGCTCAAAGTGGATATATCATATCATTGTGGAGAGTCGTAGTTCCAAACGTGAATTAAATATTTGTGTTCTTCACCTTCTTTTTGTTACTCTTGGATCTGTGCAGGTGTTGAACAAGCTTTGAAATTTAGTGAAACATCTCCCAGAGCCAGCAAGACAGAAAAGGGAATGATTCTTCCATTCCAACCATTAACAATGACTTTTCATAATGTTAATTATTTCGTTGATACTCCAAAGGTTAGCCAGAAGTTTAAATATTTCTAGTTCATATTGATTTTATGAGATGCATTCTAAGTATTGAATTCATTCCCAGGAAATGATGCAGCAAGGTATACTAGAAAAGAAATTGCAGCTGTTATCAAATGTGAGTGGAGTGTTTTCGCCAGGAGTTCTTACAGCGTTAGTTGGATCAAGCGGGGCAGGAAAAACTACACTGATGGATGTTCTTGCCGGAAGAAAAACCGGTGGATACATTGAAGGTGATATCAGAATATCAGGCTTTCCAAAAGAGCAGCCTACTTTTGCTAGAATATCAGGCTACGTAGAGCAAAATGATATCCATTCCCCCCAAGTCACAGTCGAGGAAAGCCTCCAATTCTCCTCATTTCTACGCCTTCCAAAAGAAATCAGTAAAGAAAAACGACAGGTATTTTGTTTGGTTGGCTCCATCTTATTTTAATATGATCCAAATCCCATCTTATTTTAATGCTTTCAGGAGTTCATTGAAGAAGTAATGAGTCTAGTGGAGCTTGATACTCTTAGGCATGCTTTGGTTGGTGTGCCAGGTAATACTGGTTTATCAACAGAGCAGAGAAAACGCCTAACAGTTGCAGTGGAGCTTGTTGCAAATCCTTCTATCATCTTTATGGATGAACCTACCTCTGGACTCGATGCTCGAGCGGCTGCCATTGTTATGCGAACCGTTCGTAACATGGTCGATACGGGAAGAACTGTTGTTTGTACCATTCATCAACCTAGTATTGACATTTTTGAAGCATTTGATGAGGTTGGTAGCTGATTTTAAGCATAATCCATCAATGTTTCATTAGCTCTTAATGATTTTGTTCTCGACATTCTTGTGCAGTTGCTTCTTATGAAACGAGGGGGGAGAGTTATATATGGGGGAAAGCTTGGAATACATTCACAAATAATGATAGACTATTTTGAGGTAACACTTAATCTGTTATCTATATATGTATAGAACATGATCTTAGGAGCGGTTCTGACAGAGATATGTTCTTACTTTGTAGGGAATTAATGGAGTTCCTCCAATACCAGATTCTTACAATCCAGCTACTTGGATGCTTGAGGTCACGTCGCCTGCTGCTGAGCACAGAATTGGTAAAGATTTTGCTGACCTATATAGGGACTCGGATCAATACAGGTATGATTATATTATAGTCGGTTTCTATCGTTAAAAAGACCATTAAGGAATTAATGTAGCGTTAGAAACCATGTTCTGAGATCTCACGTCAGTTGAGGACGAGAACGAAACACCTTTTATAAGGGCGTGAAAACCTCTTCCTAGATGCGTTTTAAAAACCTCGAGGGAAAGTCCAAAGAGACAATATCTGCTAGCTTGGGCTGTTACTAATGGTATCAGAGTCAGACACCGGGCGATGTGCCAGCGAGATCGTTGGGCCAAAAAGGGGTGGATTAAGGGGTCCCACATTGATTGGAGAAGGGAACGAGTGCTAGTAAGGACGCTGGGCCCTAAAGGGGGATGAATTGTGAGATCCAACATCGGTTTGGGAGGAGAACGAAACACTTTATAAGGGTGTGGAAACCTTTTCCTAGCGGACGCGTTTTAAAAATCTTAAGAGAGCCCAAAAGTGAAAGCCTAAATAGAACAATATCAACTAGCGGTAGGCATGGGCGGTTACATATGTACTCGATCCATTAGTAGTTTTTAGAATTATTTATGAGATTTTATCAATCCTTACCCATTTTTTTTAATCCAGAATCGTCGAAGCTTCCATCAAGCAATTAAGCGTTCCACCGGTGGGTGGAGAAGCATTGAAGTTCGATACCACATACTCGCAAGGCATACTATCTCAGTTCATTATTTGCCTGTGGAAGCAAAGGCTTGTGTATTGGAGAAGTCCCCATTACAATGTGATGAGGTTATGTTTCACCTTCATAAGTGCACTGATTTTTGGTTCAGTGTTTTGGGGTATTGGTATGAAAAGGTAAAAATCTCTCCTCATTTGGAGTTTTGGTTTTTGTTTTTAGGCTATTTGATTAAAATTTATTGCATTTGAATGTTCAAAAGGAACTCAACTCAAGAACTTTTCGTTGTTATGGGAGCTCTGAACACTGCATGCTTATTCATCGGAGTAAACAATGCTTCCACTGTACAACCAATTGTTTCAATTGAGAGAACAGTATTCTATCGCGAGAAAGCAGCTGGAATGTATTCTCCATTCGCTTATGCATTTGCTCAGGTAAGTAATTTAATTGTGTTGTGTCGACATATAAACAAAAGGGCTAATCAAATTTTGGTTGCTAATGCTAATACTTCTCCCAACAGAGCTTAGTGGAGGTTCCCTACATTGCTGCACAGACCATAGTATACGGTGTCATCACATATTTCATGATTAATTTCGAGAGAAACGCGGGTATGTTCCTTGGTTCTATTGTATGTATTTTTTAGAATTTTGGTCCTAAACTTTGTGAAACTAACCCGAAAAGTGATGTTTTAAAATTTTGCAGGCAAGTTTTTCCTATATCTGCTGTTCATGTTCTTGACGTTCACCTATTTCACCTTTTATGGAATGATGGTGGTGGGGCTGACTCCATCACAAAATCTGGCATCCATTGTATCTTCAGCATTCTACTCTTTATGGAATCTCCTCTCTGGCTTTCTTATTCCAAAGCCCGTAAGTGTTCTTTCTCTAAACAACAACACTTTTGATTGATTGATTGATTGATTGATTGAATGTTGGTTTGATTTTGAGGCCTCCTCTGTTCTGTTCTGTTCTTGTTTATCAGAGCCTCCCAGGATGGTGGCTTTGGTTCTACTACAGCTGCCCTGTTGCATGGACTTTGAGGGGAATTATAACGTCGCAGCTTGGCGACGTAGACACCATAACTGTGGGGCAAGGTTTCAAGGGGTCTGTGAAGGAGTACTTGGAAGTAAGCCTTGGATATGGCCCTGGCATGGTCGGAGTTTCGGTTGTGGCGCTCCTTGCCTTCATCCTTGTCTTCTTCTCCATCTTTGCACTCTCCATCAAATTCATCAATTTCCAGAAAAGATAAAGATAAAAGTATAATGCCATCGCATTCTTTGTAAAGTAAATACTATAATACCTAAATTTAATATTGCAGTTCTACTTATCATCATTATTTTGAGAGGTGAATCTCTACGTTTTGTAGGGAGTACATATTTTTTGTTTTAGAAAAATAAATTAAAATTATCATTATTATCTTCCGATCAATTAATTAAAATAATATAATTCTAAAATGAGGAGGATATTGTCTCAAAAATATTAACTTATAGGTTAATTTTTGCTTCAATAATATTGGTAGAGTTTCAATAATATTTTAGAAATAAATTAAAAGTTTCCTAGAGTCTTGAAAAATTCATTTATTTTATTGGACATCGGGTTAGAGTGAGAAATTTTACAATGTTCTTGCAAATAATTTTTTTAATTTTTTCATATTTTTAAGAAAATATATATTCTTTTAAAAAAAAATTAATAGATAATTTCAATTTTCAATATAATTTCTATAATAAAATAAAATAGTATAATAAATTTAATAATATTTCTTAAAACAAAAATATAATATAATATTAAATACTCTAAAAAGTTTTTAGTAAGTAAATATGTATATATAAAAAAGTTAAAATGACAAACTTACAAAAAAAGAAACCTGCCATCTTGACTATTCTCATTGGTCCGTCATTTATCAGAGTTCACTAGCTACGGTATTTTATCAGGAAACCCGCTCTCATTTTATTGCCTCCGGGGAGATGTTTTCAACTCGAGAACCGGTGGCGCTGGGAGAATTTGAGAGAGCTCCCCCGCGAATCGGGTCGGAGGAATGAATTGTGTTCTTCGTTTTTCTTCTTCTCTTCGATCCATAGACGGATACGGAAGATCTGCAAGAGCTTCAGTTCCATGAAGAACAAACGGCCTAAGTCAGATGAGCGAGATACAAGCGACGACGGTGATTTAGAGGCGGAGGAATGCGATATGGAGGTCCGGAATATGCTTAGGAAGAGCTTCCGTCAGGTGCAGTCCGTATTGGAACATAATCGTTTGATAATCCAGCAGGTGAACGAGAATCAGCAGTCGAGGATCTCCGATAATCTGGTCAACAACATCTCGCTGATCCATGAAATTAATGGTAATATCTCTCGTGTTATCTCAATTTAATCCGATTTGTCTGCCAGTTTCCTCACTACAATTCAACAGAGGCGTCGAGTTACGGAGTCGAAATCCAGTGAAAACAATGGATGCGGAGGAACTAAGGCGGAAATTCTCAGTAATTCTGTTTTTCCTTGCCGTGAAAAGTAAAGTAATACTATGGTAGGTAGAGATGTTGAATGATGAAAGTCCCACATTGGCTAATTTAGAAATGATCGGGTTTATAAACAAAGAATAGTATCTCCATATTGGTATGAGGCCTTTTGAGAAAGCCCAAAGCAAAGCAACAAGAGCTTTATCATACCATTGTAGAGAGTCGTATTCATCTAACTATCAGAACTTATGCTCAAAGTGGACAATATCATACCATTGTGGAAAGTCGTGTTCATCTAACATGGTATCAGAGTCATTTGTCTAACACGAGACTTTTGAAAAGTTTGATAGTGTGCAAAAATAATGGATCCTCTTTGAGGACAAGTCATGGTGTTGGTTTTAACTTAATTTGTTAATTTAACAGTCATGTGTAAGGTAGGTAAATAATCATTAACCTATATGTATAATCTAACTAAATTTCTATTTTTTATAGTAACTAATATGCTGATAAATAAATCTAGAAGTTAACTTTAAAAGCCAAATGAAAAGGTTAGACGACAGAAAATTTGGAGGTTAATTGATTATGCCTAGAATTTATAAAAACTCATTTAACTATGGTTGACAAATGCCAGGATGAGGGTTAACGAGAATGGCTATAAAAGACGGTAAATTGGGAACATAAAACATTAATTAAGAGGTCCGTGACATGTGCACCAATTCTACCGTAAACAGTACAAGAAAGAAAAGCCCAGTGAGTGAGGGTTGGATATTGGGGGATATGCTATGCTGAGATATATAAAACAAAGACCAGATGCCAATTATAGAGGGAGCTCACCGCTGTCGGCAATCACAACTTTGCTCTTAGGGGTTCCGTTCTGCCTTCCCTCGGCTTCTATTTTATAAACCACGTCCATCCCAGACAGCACCTTTCCAAATACAACGTGTCTACCATCCAACCTGTGTGTATAAACAAGAACATAATAATAAGCAGCTTCCTTTTAGTAATCAATCAAATCAAGCATGAAACAAAATCGTGGCAGACAGGAGTTTACCAACTAGTTGTGACTGTAGTGATGAAGAATTGTGAGCCATTTGTGTCTGGACCGGCGTTTGCCATAGACAGAAGCCCTGCAGCATTACATTATATATTGTATTTTCAATTTCGGATCATTTTTAGAATGCCGTAACGGACGGGTAGAGATTTAATCCTTCACCTGGCCCTGTATGCTTCAGCTTGAAATTCTCGTCAGCGAACTTCTCTCCGTAGATTGATTCTCCACCTCTTCCATCGCCGAGGGTAAAGTCACCTCCTTGAATCATGAAGCTGGGAATGATCCTGTGGAACGCACTACCCTTGTAGTGCAGAGGTTTTCCGCTGTGCCCAACACCCTTCTCACCTGAAAATTGAAATCATGCAGAATTGGAGACCCAAATATTAGAAAAAGGTCTGAGTAGCCATCGCATGCTGTAAAGATAATTAATATTAATCAGTAGGCTTTTGCCTATTGGCTCTCAATTAATCATTTTTCCCTTTGGGAGACTAAGAGGAATAGAAGTTAGAGCTTTAAAGGAGGGAATTGAAATCCACACGTTACTTTGACATCAGTAACTCGGTTTAAATAGGAAGTTAAGGCCCCCCTAATTTGATTATAGATGTAAGAAACACCTCACGAAGTTGAAAATACTCAAAGTATGATTAAAATCAGAGTTATCTGCTTACCAGTGCACAATGCTCGGAAATTTTCTGCATAGTCACACGAGAAAAGGTCAGTATTATTATAAAATATTACTATCATATAGTATGCAGTGTATCTAATCCAGCAAAAATTGATGGTCTTAAATACAAAATAAATAAACATACCAGCGGTTTTAGGAACAGCCTTCCCGAAAAGACCCATCTCAATACGACCTGTAAGACAGTTATAATCCCAATTGTAATATTAAGAATACTCTAGTTAAATAACCGCAACAAAATGTGTCTAGTTAAGCTCTTAAAAGTATGAAGTATCCGTTTACAATTGCCTTCGCCGAAATGGACGTGGGCGTCAAACTTCCCTTTACAATAATGCGACAAATATTCAGTAGCCGGCAATTTTAACGTGTCAAATACACCGAGTCTCAACAGATAATTAAACATCATACAATTGACTTCAAGCAATAATGTGCATTATACTGTTCTATAATTAATTATGCGACAAATATCATTCATGTACATGCATTCTATGGTAGAACATTCAAGTACAGCCAATCTCGACAAACAGTTGAACATTACACAATATACAATTCATGAAACAATGTCTAAGCATTAAGTCATACTAAACTACTACCCATTGGTGCATTAAGCGTGCAAGTCTGTTAGGGCATTGCTGTATGCCACCGGGGCACGCTTATTATACAGATAAACAAGAGGATTGAAGTTGAGCGATGTTTAAATAAGAAAGCTAAATCGATAAAGCATGAGAACGGGAATCGATCATTGAATGCAAATTTAGTTGGATCTATTAATTTAAAACAAAACAAAATCGACCATACCAGCAGCCTTGCCGTCAATTTCAACATCGAAGTAAACTTTATGAGTCACTTCTTTCAGATTCTCCTTCGACTTCTTTGCCTGGAACAGAAATTTCATAAATTAATTTTTGGCTTTCAATTTATAAACATCATTCCCATTATGATCTAAACGACTTACAAGAAAACAAAACAAAATGACCAAAAATCTCGGGAACACTAACTGAATTCATACAAATTCATAAATTAATTTTCTGTTATCAGCTTTATAAACCTCACTCCCATTCTGATCCAAAAGAACTAAGAAAACATAGAACGTAAATACCTAGAACCTCAATTCTTGAACCACTGACTGAAATCGTAGTTGATTACAGATCTAAAATGCGAGACAAATCTCAGAGAAATAAGCGCTTCTTTACCTTGTAGAAAAACCTATCACCAAATTGACGATCCAATTACAAAAAGAGGTTTCAGAGAAAATGAGAATTATCACCTGGATCAGAGTTAGTGTTCCTAGGAGGAGGAAAGTACACAAAATGAATGACGCCGTTTTCGCCATCTCGCCGCGAAAGTCCCACTCGAACTCAAAGTCAGTCACTGTAAAACAGCCCACTTAGGGGAATGATAACCGCGATAAACATGAGATGCCTGTGCATTTTATACAAAGGTTCTCTGGGCGCACGCGACGTGTAGTTTCTATTTTCCTCCAATTAAAATCTGACACGTGTTCTTCGTGGTCCCATTATTGAACTCCTCCAATTTGTCACGAGTGGCAATTTCTTTGTGAATATATACTTTGTTATTCAAATAGGTTTTATTTTTTTAAAATGCCCAAACTTTAGTTTTCATATTTCTAAGAAATTTAAAAATTAGTTCAATTTGAGAAGTTTTAATTTAGTTTTTGTCTATATAATCTTAAAAGTTTTAATTTAATTCCCCCAAATCTCATTATTATTTTTGCTACCATGTTCATAATCAACACCTTTCAGTAAAAAAATACCTATAAACTTTCAAAAGTTTCAATAATACTCTTGCACTTTAAAAAAATAGTTTTTCATAGAAACCATCCATAGTAATGTTACATTAATATCATTAATTTCTTAAAAAAATTATAAAAAATTTCCTTACGTTAGTATTATAGGTAAAAAATGGTAATCTTTGTAAAAACAACTTTAAAAATTATTATCATCAACACATGACAAAACCGACCATTCCCTTTTTAATTTTAAGGGTATTGATAATAAAAATATTTTAAATATCAATGATCATGAACTTTTTTAAAAAAAGATGGAAGGTACCTGAAGTCATTAAAAAAAAGAAACTTTTTAAAATTCAAACATATGAAATAATGTCCAACAATTATAAAACAAATTATGAGTGTAATTTTTGTTTTGATGTTTGAAAGGTTTTCATCCATGGAAGCTTTCTTTGGTGTTTTATACCGTTTTCGTTTGAATCATCATTCCCTACATCCAGCGGCATAAAACAATGTACCAGAGCCTCCTCAAATAGCTTCTTCACAAAGGCCAGCATTGTATTATGCCCCACATGTCTATGGAACTAACTAACAAACTGCTCCAATTTCAGGCTGCTGATGATGAGTTACCTCACCCCTTTACATATTAATACTGTAAAAGAACAACAAATATGCAAACTACAGCAATTGAGACCTCTAACCACAAAACCAATGCATAAAACAAAATTTTGGAATATGGAAATATGAAGATCGCCATGAATTTTCTGCAATATCTTCCTGCTTTCAACAAATTTGCAGGATTCTGGGGCTTGAAGCATGATTGTAATCGACAATCAAACAAAGTCAAGCCCTGTAATGCTCGAGCTAATGGTTGGATCAAGGGCGGCAAATGCATACCAGCTATGAAGAGAGGCAAAATGTGTATAATTCTCGACCATCTGAAAGCGTGGTCTCTAGGAACCATGTGGGCGTCCTCTATCTGCATCGGTATTATTCTCGAAAACTTCATATTCATAGTCCTTATCGAGATACTCCATGGTCTTCCCAAAAACAAATGACTTGGTTCCCATTGTTGTCAAAGGCATTAAGCCAAAAGCTCGTGCTGTTTTGATCTCACGGGCAACTTTCCTCTGTGCTTTGGCACTTATACCTGTCTGCAAAATTGTTGAAGTGATCACGTAAGATGAAGGTTGACGACTCAACTTGTTCAAAACCTGAGTTTTGCTCGAAAAGTTTACCTTGCTCCTCTTGTTAATGATCCCGGCATCGGTAATAAAATTCGCCAGAAACCTAACATTCTGGAAACATCTATTTGCTAATTGTTAGATATGCGAGATAAAATGCAATTTAAGTCCCATCACAGATTTTCTTAGCTTGGATATGTACTCTCGATTATAAGCTTCCTCGAGAGAGTCGTGGACATAATTTAAATGGCAAAAAAGACCAACTAATAGCCAAACGATTTTCTGGTAGCAATGAGAATGATAGTGATAATTTCATGACCTCTCTGATGTTGCAAACGAGCAAATGCTAGAAACTCTCAAGAGGTACTACCATATCAGG